ATTGTAAGTTGATTATTATTTTGACCATTCGTCGCGACATACTTCTTTCCAAAGATGTGTTATATTAACTACGGATATATATTATAATATAAAACAAAGATTTGCGAATATATGTCACATTTAGAGCGAAAAAGACGAATCGAAAAAAGAGCATTCATATTATTATTATAAGTTTAACTCATATAATGAATGTTTGAATCCAGATTCAATGAGTTGACTCTAGGAAGAAATCAATATAGTTACAACTAGCTTTTTTAAATTACAAAAGAAGCATAGAAAAAAAACAAGATAATAATTAATATAATAAGCAACCGTTCCTCGAGATATTTATTGATAATAAAGAAAATAAAGAAAAAAACAAAAGACGACACATTCTAACATATAAAAAGATTGGAAATGTAAAAAATAGATAAGTTCACAGATAATTACATTCAAAGACATCATACAGACACCATACACTCCATCGCACAAGAATGGCAGTATCAGTGTAATAATACCTGTAAATCGTGAAACAAGATGTAATTAAACAGTAGAAGAACTGGAAGCTGCATCAAATGCAATTAACTATGAACTAAACAGTTTTTGAGCATCTCGCTCTCTCTTACTTTTTCATTCTTCCATTTGTTCTTTCTCACATGTGCATGCATTCACTCATTATTTCATCTATCTTCTTTCGTTTTCTTTTGCTCATCTATAAGCTAAATCCAATAGAGGCAGAACAGAATTTCTGCGAGGTACATAACTACTATAAGAATGACATAATAATAATATTATTATTAAGAATAATAAAAATAATAATATTAATAAGGAAATTATCAGCAAATACTTCGTGAATTTAATGGCTCAAAATATACTGTATACTGTATACTGTGTGCATGTGCGCATATATGCACATGTTAGTTAAGGATAAGCACACAGTTTCTCTCGCATTCTCTCTTTTATATCTCTCACTCTCATTCTCCCTTCTCTTTTTCTCTACGCACGTTCATTTTATCGGTCGCCGTGTCACGTGGTTCAGAATATCTCACACGTTATACCGACCACGTCACTCGTTCGGCAATTAAATCACAGACAATGTGTATGATACGGTGATTAACAATAAATCGTCAACTAGCATTACCTATATATAATTCGGGATAATAAAAGTTATTGTACAAATTAATATTATGCATTCAATTATAACAAAAAAGACACTGTATTTTTGTTCTTTTTTCTCCGGTAAAGACATGCGAATGTACAAGTATATGCACGGACACTGCGGTTTATTTCTTTACCTCGTTCACCGCTCCATTCGTTCATTTTCACAAACTCGCCTGTGTATATGTTTGTAGCTCAACTTTAAGCCTTGTTCCGATAAAACACCTTCGTAAAAGTTTCGTTTTGTTCTATTTTATTTTTCTTTTTTTTTTTCTTTCTTGCTTTGATCGTAGACAACTATAAAAGTACACTTTCGTTACTCTGACATTATATTTTCGCTTCCTTTTTGGTTATTCTGCAAATTCACTGCAGCTGAAACATTATTAATTATTATAAATATAATATTGATAATTTTTTTAAATATTCAATATTGATAAAAAATAATAAATACCAGTAGACTACATAGCGTTTTCTTGATGATTCTTTTGGAATAATATAGTTTCTTCAAAGATATATTGTTTCAATACTTCTTTTGGAAGATCATCTAATTCCATGTCAAACTTAAATGGTTCTTCTGCAACCGGCTAAAAATTGAACATATTATAGAATTATTTTAAGTATTTGTCTAAATATTTAATGTCTAATAGTAGAAAGTATACTTCGTCAGCAGGATCATAATATTGCTCTAAATAAGGATGTGCTAGAGCATCCTCTACAACAATCCGTTTATTAGGATTAAATGTTAACATTTTATCTAACAAATCTAAAGCTCGCAAATCGGCATTTGGAAATAAACTTGTCCATGGAACCTTTGGTTTATATGGTAATGATTGAAGATAATTTCGTGCCTAAAATAATATTTTATAATTGTGTGTCAGATTAATATAATGATATTAAAAAAAAATTAAACATAAAAGAATGATTAATACTTTTTCGTTTATAATGCACTCAAGATCCTCAGGGGATGGTGATCCAAGGACTCCCAATATATGATTTAGTTGGTCTAAATAGTGTTTACCAGGAAATATTGCTCTTCTGGAAAGCATTTCTGCAAGAATGCAGCCAACTGACCAAATATCTATAGATTTAGTATAGCCCTATAAAAAAGATAATAAAATATAAAGTCTGTTATATTTATTTTAACTAAAAATTCTATTTAGACTCAAATTCTATTATTCATTTACCTTGGAATTAAGCATTATTTCTGGAGCTCTATACCACCTTGTTGCTACATATTCAGTAAGAAAACCAGCATGATTATGCTCTGGATCAGCAACTCTAGCTAAACCAAAATCACAGATTTTAAGGTCACATGTGGTATTTAACAGCAAGTTGCTTGGTTTCAAATCTCTATGTAATACATTTGCAGAGTGAATATACTTTAATCCCCTTAATATTTGGTAAAGAAAATAACATATATGATCATTACTAATAGCCTGAAATTAATAAATGTGTTTTAAATATATTGATATTTTTTTTTATAATTTCACTTATTAATATTAACTATGCTAACCTGTGTTTTAAGAAGTTTATAGAGATCAGTTTCCATTAGACATTGAACAATATATACATCTTTCATTTGTTCTATAGTAGGTGCCCTTAATATATCTCTTATATCTATTATCTAAAAAAGGGAGTATAAAATAAATTTTACTAATTAGATTTAAATACTACTGATAATTACTTACATTTTCATGCTTAAACCTAGTCAAAATTTTTATTTCCCTTAATGTTCTCTGACTATATGTTTGATGTTCAAAGGGTGAAATTTTTTTAATAGCTACCTTTGTTTTTGTTACATTATCATAAGCAGATCTGTAAAAAAATTTCAAAATGCTTAAGATATTTAAAATTTTTTTCATTAAATTGTTTTATCATATGTTCAAAAAATAAATATAATAACATTATTAAAAAAAAATAATAAAATACTGTATATATATAAAATATATAAAATTTGTTTCTTAATCTAGAATCATAATAAGAAGTAATTCTATGGTATTTCTTTTTTTTATTTTTAAAATTTATTTTAAGTTTAAATATATCATATTCCAATAATATCTATTCAAATATATTAAAAAAAATAAAATAAAATAAAATAAAAAATAAAACAATTAAAAAAAAAGAAGAATTAATTTAAAATAATTAAAAAAAATTTTAACAAAAAAGATTAAAATTTTTCCTAAAAATTCGCCATTTTTTTTGCAAAAATATTTATGAAATATATACGTGATCTCGTTAACAGTACAATGATAAGAACGATAAATGAGAGATAAGCGACGGGAACAAGGAAGTTATAATATTAACATACAAGTATGAATAGGGATTTGAAAGGGTGTGACAATCATGTTCAAAACTGGCGCCAAAAGAAAACAATACATAACGATGAATAATACTTCGCAACGGTTGTATATAATATCCAGTCAAAAGTAAAATTTTTCATATCATGAAATGAAAACATTATAATAAAATTAGTAATTCATTTAATGATCATGTTTTTGATTGTTTATCTTTCGGCCTGTCAGCTAGTCAATACGCGGTCGAATGTTCTCGGAAATAACAAAAAAAATTGACTCGAAGTTACTTACACGACCATTCCGTAGGCACCCTCACCCATGTACGACAAATTCGTATATCGTGGACCAACTTCGAACGTTTGTCCACGAACAACTTCACAATTTGGATTCACACTTGCAGAACCTTCACCCGCCATTTTGACAACTATTTTGCGGCTCCGGCGAAGTAAGACCAAATCTTGCTTCTTAGCCGACTGACCATGAACAATATCATGATTAGATAGACTTATGAAAAATTCACATATTATTTAACAATTATAAGGTATTAAAAACGATCTTTCCGCCCCCTTTTTTTTAATCTTATCATTATAAATTAAATTTTGATATCAAATTTTTTTTTATTACAAATATATCAAAATATTAAAAATTATTATTTTAAAACATTAAAAATAAAAGATTTAGAAATTACTTATTATTTTTATAATATCTTTTTTTATGAAAATTGATATATTATTAAGTTTTCTTTATAATTTTTATTATTGAATTTTATCGAATTAAATATTGATGTAAGATATGATATAAACAATATTGAGAAAAAGGACATTGCAGTTCTACTTCGAATTTCGAGTTTCTCATCTAAAGTAAAATAAACTAAGACTTAGTTTTAGCACTTGATTTATCATTGCTTTATTATTATTAAATTTGTATCAATAATCATTTTTATCGACAAGAATTCTTAATAAACTTTCAACTTAACGTTAAATATATTACAAATATAATATGAATGCACCACCGACCTTTGAATCATTTCTTTTGTACGAAGGAGAAAAAAAGTATGTATTATAAATCGATTATTTACATTAAACATTTAATCAAAATGATATATATGTGATTTTTTGTTTCGTACAGAATTATTAAAGAACAAGACACAAAAGTTCCTAATGCTGCGATTTTTACTGTTAATAAAGAAGACCATACTCTTGGAAATATGATCCGCAAGTATGTACATCTTACAAAAATTCATGCAATATATTATATATATATACATATAAAGAGGAATGATAATCTCATTTATTATTTAATAGTCAGTTATTAAAGGATCCTCAAGTTTTGTTTGCTGGATATAAAGTTCCACACCCATTAGAACATAAATTTGTGATTAGAATTCAAACTACATCAGATTACACACCACACGAAGCATTTATGCATGCTATTACAGATTTAATAGCAGAGCTTTCTCTATTTGAAGAACGTTTTAAGGTAATTTATAAATGAAAAATATATTATAAAAATATTTTTATATTTATGTTATATAAAAAATATTTCAGGAAGCTATTAAAGAAAAAAAGGAAGGATTAGATTGAATTTCTTATTCCTTTTTTAAAATTAATTTTAGATATTAAAAAATCATGTAAATAAAATATTAATATGTATATCATTTTTGGATTACTACGAGACCTGATTTATTTTAATAAATAAATTGATATTAATTGATATTTATATATGTATGAATAAAAAAATAAAAGTAATTAAAAAATAATTTACTTAAATCTTTTGAAATTATAACCCACTTGATAATATAAACCCTGACAATAATATATATATGAACTATTAAATGAAGAATGACTTTAATCTTAAAGATAAAAAAACTATTTTGCTTATTAAGAAATGAAGCCATAATTATTTAATTTAAATAAGTTTGTAAAAAATACTAAAATCAGTCTCTTACAATTTTATTTTTTTAACTACAAAGTTTAATTTTCCTATAATTCTAATTTATTAAATATATGTTTTGAAATTAATGTAATGACTTTATCAACCCTGCATTTAAATTAAAAATTAAAAGGCAAGAAAATAATAAATTATAGTAGTATAATTTTACTGAAACAAGTTTTGTACAAAGATTAATAGCAAAAATGGAACAATAAATATTTATTTTTATATAAAAAGTACAAACACTTTTTCAGAAAAAATGTACTACCAAATTTTAATAATATAAGTGCTTAGAAATCATATGAGACTTGGATTAATTGATTCTAATCTTAATTAATGAATTTTTCAAAATTCAGAAGGAACTATTAAATGTATGACGCTTTTCAACTAAATAAATTATTACATATACAGATTCACATAAATATAATTAGTATGTACATAATTACATTCGACTTCATCCAAAGTATGCGTTTAATTTTTCGTTACGCATTTCATTGTTTCCATTCTATAATACAAATCAGCAATATATCATAAAATAACTTAATCTGGTTCACAATAGAAGTAATATAACTTTGTACTTTAACAATCACGTGGAAGCGCAACAAATATACACACAAAAACATTATGGTGAACATATATAGACTTTCAAACCATAAATTTAACATGGGAGCACAAATTTATCATGGAATTGTCAATATTTGGACAATTGATATGCATATTCCTATGCAGGAAGACATGCATATAACTATAGCTTTAAATTTTTTCATATAAAAATATACTCTGCAAAACTTTCAACAGGTATTTTTGGAATTAGGATTTTTGAAAAGCAATAAAATATATCTACAAATGATAACATATCCTATTAAAATGTTTCAGCATCATCGCAATCACGAGTATCATGTCCAAACACTGCAAAACAATTAAAACAATTATAAATAGAATTACAAAGATAGAAATTATAAAGAAACAATTAGAAAAATTGATGTGAAATATTTAAGAAATATACTTAATAAAAAACTTTGTATTAGTGTTTGTTTATAAAAAATATTTTTCCAAAATTTCACTAATATTTCTTAGAAACTTAAAAAAATGTTTAGAAGAGAACTTTACATATTTCTTCCTAGGAGAAAAAATATTATAATAAATTATTATAAATATAATAAAAAGAATTTCAATTTATATAATTCTAAGAAATGATTTCTTACTTTCACAATTTTCGCAGTACGGTCTTTCCATCGGTGCTTTTTTTGAAGACTTTACGACTTTTTCCGTATCTAGAAAGTCTTGAGCTTGACGTGGACAATCTTCCGTTTCATGTAAATCAAATTGATCACAAATATCACAGAACATACGTGGTGCAGCCATACGTTTCTCTAATGTTGTTCTTTAATCAAAATAATATTAAATTAATAATGATTAAATTAATATAATTATTATTATATTATTTACAAGATATATTTGGTGAAATATTAAATATAACGAACTTGGTATATTCGTCAGCTTCATTGGAAGGTATCCCCATTTCAAGAACTTCCACTTTACATAGTAAAGTTTCGTTTTTACGTTGCATATCAACTATTACAGAATTTAAGAAATCTATTTGACTTTTTGCTGTTTCATATTCTTCTTTTAATTTTAGAATATCAATATCCTTATCCACTGAAATCAATAATTTCATTTTATAATATATAATTATAAAAATAATATATATAATTAAAAAAAAAAAACGCAAAAAAAATTTATAGATTTAAAATAAATTTCACCTATATGTTGTTTCATATCACCTCCAGCTGCCTGCAATATAAATAACAATTTATTATATATAATATTTTTATAATAAACTTATGACAAAATAAAAATCAAAAACTTACATCATAACTATTTTTTATATTTTCGCGAGTTAATTTTAACTGATTTGCTGCTTCTGTCCATTTAGCTGTAATTTGTTTATTCTCTCTTTCCCTAAAATAATCAATATAAGTGTATAAAACATTAGGAATATTTAGAAATATTTATTTTTTACTTACAAATTACTTTGTACTTCTTTTAAATGTGTTGCTTCCATTGACATAAGATTTAATTTTTCTATCAAATTTTGAATATTTTTTTCAGTTTCTTTTTCTTTAGTTTTCATGATATTTGTAAGTATTTCAATTTTTTGTTCTTGTTCTTTAAATAATTTTTCAAAAGATTCTTTATTCTCAATTAGATTTTTATTTTCTTTAATCGCTTCACTTAATTTACTTTGCATAAATTTAACTTCTTCACTTTCTATCTGTTTATCCATCTTTAATTTTTCTGTTTGTGCATTTTCTAAAGCTTTAATTTGTGCTGTTAATTTATCAATAGTTATTTCTTTATTATTTAAATCATTAATTTGTTTCTCTATTATATCTTGAAAGAATTGTTGCTGTTTTTCTAATTCAGAATTTTTTTGCATTATAGATTCAAATTCAGCTTGTTTAGCTTTCATTTCACATTCTAAAGTATTTTGTAATTTCATTACAGATTCTTCTTTGGAACTTTTCAATTCTTTCATCATATGTTCTGTTTCCTGAAGTATATTATTTTTTACATCTAATTCTTTTTGTATAGTTTTTAACTGTGATTCTAAATCTTTTACATTTTCTTCTAATTTTGATTCTAAAATTTTTACATTATTTTCTAAAGAAATCTTTGTTTCAATAATATTAGATATTTCTTTTTCTTTCTCTAATAGAGCTTCCTCTATTTTTTTCATGTCGTTTACTTTATCCCTTTGTTCTTTTTGCATGGATATGAGAGTATCATTCAATTTAAAAAGTTGTGTTTCAAATTGTTCAGCTTCTTTTTTGGTTTCAACAAGAGCGTTTTCTTTGTCTTTAATTGTATGTGTAGCAGCAATTAATTTATCCTTTAATTCTTTCATTTCATTATGCATAATATCTAATGATGTTGTCAAATCTTTATCCGTAGCTTCCTTACTAATAACTAAACTTTCATTTGTTTTCTGTAACTCTTCATATTTCTTTTTTAATTCATGCAAATTAATATCTTTTTCTGTTATTAATAATTCTAATTTTGAGCGATTTGCTATTTCAACTTCTAGTTTGTCTGTTAATTCTTCAATCGTCCAACGATTAGCACTTTGATTTGCTTCTAATTTAGACTTTGTTTTTTGTAAAATCTTTGTTTCTTCTTGAGAAGTATTTAATTCCATTTTCAAGCCATTAATCTCTTTTTGAAGGGAAAATATCTCTTCTTTAAGTGAATTTTTTAAAGTTTCATATTGTTTTTGTAAATTAACCATTTCTTTTTTGTTATTTTCTAATTCATTTAAAAGATTTAATGATTCCTGCGATTTTTCTTTAAGCTGTTCTTTAATACAGTTATTTTCTTTTATTTGTTTTTCAAATTCTGTATTTTTTGTTTCAAATTTTTTTATTTTAATAGATAATTCTGTATTCAATTTTTTTTCTTTTTCTAATTCAGATTTATTATTCTCTATTTCTGAACATTGTATTTGAATCAAATCATTAGCTTTATTTAATTCTATTTCCATATTATTCAATTTTGATTCTAATGATTTGAGTAAGGTTTCATTTTTGAATGCTTTATCTTTAATTTCATCAAGTTCTTTTTCTTTTATTCGCAAATCTTCATTATATTTTATAAGTTGTTCTGATGAATCAGTGGAAGTACTTATTAGATTTGTTATATCAGCTTCCTAAACATACATAATAGAAATAAAATATACTTTAAATTAAGAACTTGCATTTTTAAAACTTTAAATAGAATAAACTAACCAATTTTTCTTTTTGAGATGTAACTTGTGACAGTCTATTTTCTGAATTAGCAACTTGTTGATTTAATTTTTCTATATTATTTTCAAATTCTCGAAGCTTATTCTCTAGAACCGTTTTATTTTTTTCCGATAAAGTAAGTGCATCCTGTAATTCTGAAAACAAACAATAATTAATGTTAATTTAATAAAATATAAATATAATTTAATATCGTATTGTCTTTTACCTAAAGTCTTTTGTGTGAGATTTTTTATTTCTTCATCTTTATTTGCAAGAAGTGATTTCAATTCTAATACATCAATTTCTAATTTACTGAGTAATAAAGATTTTTGAGATATATAAGCATTTGCTTCTTCTATACATTTCACTTTTTCTTCAATTTGATTTTGATAACGTTTTGTTAATTCCTCTATTTCAGCTGCAGTTGTCGAACGAAGATCTAATAATTCTTTTTCTTTCACTTTTAATTCTTCACTTAATTTTTTTAATTGTGCAGAGGAATTGACTTCTGTAGCCATTAAAGAAGCAATATCATGCTCCTAATATAATAATAAATTTGAAATTAATAAACTTAATATTTACAAAGAAAAAAAAAGTACTTACTAATTTTTGTTTTTCTTGGACTATTTTAAAATTGTCTTCAGTCTTTGATCGATATTCCTGTATCTGCTTAGAAAGCAAACTATTCTTTTCTTCCATTAATTTGAGTTTTTCATTTAGTTCTAAAAAAAAATATTATAATATTTTAATCTAGTATTTATATATTTCGTGTCGTTAATATACCTTCAAGTTTCTTTAATGCAGCGGATAATTCTTCATCTTTTTTCTTATTTATATCAACTTGTATAGATAGTTCTGTCAACAATTTTTCAGTTTCACATATTTTTTGATTAAGTTGTATAGATACTTCTTTAATTTTCAAATCTTTCATATTCAATTGCTCATTGAAAGATTCTGAAAGCTTGTTTATCTGATTTATATTTTCAGTCTTAAGATTCTCTAAAGTAATATTTTGTACTTCTAATTGTTTCTTTGATTCTAATTCTAATTCTTTTGTTTTTATTTTCAAAAGATTTTCTTTCTCTTCTATTATCTTTTGATATTTAAATATTAGTAATTCTTTTTCACTTGTACTTTCTTTTTTAATATTTTCTATTGTTTCTATAGCTTTATGCAACTGTTCTTTTAAAGAACTTGTACTATTTTCAAATTCCTTTTTCATATTTTCTATCAATATATTTTTTTCTTGTAAATCTTTTACCACACATTCTATTCTTTTTTTAAATTAATCTCTGATTCTTTATGAATTGTATTTTCTTGCTGATTTTCATTCAATTTTAATTCTAATTCTTTTATTTGAGTTATGTATCGTTCCATAACTAATTTTTCCTCTTGCATTTCTTTTTCAAGATTATTCTTAGTTTCTTCTAAAATTTTATTGCGATTCTGTAAATCTAAATTAAATTCATAATTAAAATAAATTATATGAAATAATATTTAATAAAACATTCCTTTTTAAGATACCTTCAAATTGATTTTTTTCTTGAGCAGTAACATTGGAAACTTCATTGCGTAAACGTGATAATTCTTCTTCTGTTTCAAATAATTTTATACTGTCATGTTCAAGTTGAGCAACACGTTCTCTTTCTTCCAGTAATTGTTTTTCAAGATCTTTAATCCTGTTTTCATTTACAGTATTTACCACCTAATAATAAATGCACTTGTTTAATATTTTAATAAATTAATTTAAATATTAACTATCATAAAATCCATCAAGATATATGTTTTTTACTGATCAATTTAGGCAAGAAAGCAATAAAATACAAAAATCTCACTTTTCTTGTATGCCTCAATAAATGTAAGATATATTATTTGATTTTGCAGAATAACAATATACATTTGTGTGTAACATAATAGAATCAAAATAAATAATAAATAAAGGCAAATACACAATAAGTAGATAAATAAATAAATAAATAAATAAATAAATATAAATAAATAAATTACATTGATAAATAAATTTTTCATATTATTAACTTAAATACTTATTACGTATTAATGATTGATGTAAAGCATAAATTTAGCATGAAAAAAGCAATGCTGAAAACAATTACGTTTGCAGTGCACCATAAAGCGTGTTAAACCCGCACCTTTTTAACAAATTTCAATAGCATAATAATTAAATTTATGCATTATATAAATACGATTTTTTTTAACTCTATTCTTTACTTTCTCTTTTCTTTTCTTATTTTTATATATCTTAATTATATAAGTATCAAATAATAATATCATCATTATAATTCTGATATTTAACATTAAAGAAAATTAAGAATTAAAGAAAGAGAGGAAGTACTACGACGTCATCGTTTTTGACAAAATTGCGATGAAATGCTAAACAATATGACTATAGTGACGACAATACAAGTATAAGCGGTGCAGAAAAACAGCGTCATCAACCCCTTGTCTGTCTCAAACGGCCAAGTGTCCCATCGGATACTCACACATTGTTCACTTCTTTCTTTCTGAAAATAAACGATAAGGTTTTTGCGTTAACCCATAGCCTAAATACAAATATTGTCATATACCTTATGAAATCTTTCATTTTTTATTTTTAGTGAATTGTTTTTTTAAAATATAAAAAGCATTGATCATTAATAATTTAAAAATAATTTTAATATCTCATATTTTTTTTAAATTGAGCTGCATGTATATTGTAGCTTTACCCATCACCATTTATTATATATAAGCTCCTAATTCTAGAAAAAGCATATTAATCTAGATTCTAATTTTATATAATTCTTCATAGATTTAACAAACAAAGGGGGGCATATAATATTTTAGAACAGAAACGGAAATTTGATAAAATAAAGTGAAACAAGAACAAATATAAAAAAACAATATATTTTTTTTATTTCATTTTGCATTTTGTTAATTTGATTGATTTTTAAATTTCTTTTTCATTATATATTCATACTTACCTTATGTATCTTTTAAATAATTAATATTTTGACACATATCTTTTATGAAATAAAAATTATAAAAATGTATACCTGAATATCGTCCTTGTTAATTGACTCTTCTTCAAAACGAAATAGAAGGTCTTCACATTTTCTTTTTTCCTCTTCCAATTGCAAAACAAGTGCATTTTTCTCCTCGAGTAATTTTGAAAACGCAACCTCCGCTTCAGAAACTGTTTTTTGCATTTTTTCTCGATACTAAAATTAAAATTATTCTTTTAAAATATTACTATAGTATTAAATGAATTACATAAATGATACGTATAACGTTACAACCTGCTCATATTCTTTTACAATTGATATAAGTGATTGTTCTGCCTGATCTGCTTGATTTGCAGCTTTTGTAATTCGTTCACGTTCTAAATCTCTTTCCTTTCGAAGAATCTCAATTTCCTGTTCCTTTTCCTTTAATGTTTCCTAAAATGATGGAAATTCGTATAAGAAAAGAATTTATAGAAATTATTTTCAAAGATTATTTATTAAAAGAATTTATTATAAAAATTGTATTATTTCTTATGATTTCAATGAAAACAAATATTTAATTATTGTCATCAAAATGTGTGTATCATATATTATATATTTGTGTATTATATATTTATAAAATGTATGCTTATTCTTATTATATCATAATATGTATGATACATATGTTTTTATCTTACAATTAACAAATTTTTATCGTTGTTTTTTAACTCTTACGTTATTGGAAAACCAGTTCTCAATAAATAGGAGGAGAAAAGCATATAAATGCATATAAAGTTTTTCCAAAATAAAAATGCGTAGTGTTTTTGTGATACAAAATTTACAATTGGAGTATATGTAATTATCGCTATATCATCAACGATTAATACATTGAATATATTTTATTTTCAATATGAATTTCAAAAACGTAATATCTAGAATTATTCATTATACACTTGCTTTGACGACATCTAATTAAATAAATGTGATTTGCATCATAAATAATAGTAAAATAAATTTTTTAACTTTTTATTGAAAACTTAAAATATTTTTTATCTATGAAAAAGAGAAAGACTTTATAAAAGAAATATCCATCTAGGTAAGAATCAAATTTCAAGGAGATTAAGAGGAATGGACGGATGATTTTATTAACATTACATACACTTTTTTAAACTACTTATTATCTACTGTACAACTAGTAACATACTAACAAATAAATTTATACTATCTACAATGATTAAATGAATCATTATGACAACTCTTCATTTTCAATTATATGTTTGAAATTATGCAAATATATAGATACAATGCATTCTTTAATCTATTTCTATAGTGTAGAATGAATGAAGTATACATATACGTATTACATTTCTATTTAAGGAATAATAATTAACCAAAATAAATGTTAGATCATAATCTCACCTGCAGGGTGATTCGTGCAGGTGTCGAAGTGCGCAAACCAGGCCTCTGGAATTTTGGATGCAACAAAAAACAAAAATATATCATGCAACAGCCATACAGTTAAATCGCAGAGAACTCCTTTTTTCCTATTCTTACTTACTTTCAATAAATAAATATTTAATATTAAATATTTTTTTTTATTTTCGATAAAAAAATATATAAGACTCTGTGAAAAAAATACTGTACTATTACATATGACTGCTTTAAGCGTTCAATAAAGTCAAACAATGAGTCCAAGAATCAATATTAAATATTTCTTTGGATCATGAATTAAATTTTATCTAATATTTGACAATGTTATTAACAAGAACAGCAACAATAATAACAACTGCAAATCTATAACTATATTAAACTATCATAAATAACATCAACTGATATTAAACTAATAAGCTAACAACTCGCAGTTCCACTCGCAAACGCATTTCAAAGCAGTCTAACAAAAGAAACGATGCTTTATTCATACAAATTGAAAAAAATACATTCGTTTTACTCGAAACAACCAGAGAATCATTCTATGATCTCTTCTATAGAATCATATAATAGAATCATATAATTCTATTATGTATTCTATAAAAATAATATATAATATTCTAAATAAGGTATAAATTTAATATTAAAACAAAATATATTAACTTTCAAAATATTAAGATTGATTGCTCAGTTTGTTACAACAATTTTATCTTTCTTACAAAATAATAATTAAAATAAAATTATATATTACAAAATATAATTATATTTATATACATATATTATACAAAAAATTCAAGTTTTAGAATTTCATAACATTCAACAGAAAGCAAAATGTAACTTTTATAGTTATAAAAGGACATAATTCAATATTTTTGGTTATAAATATATTAATATTACACAATATACACTATAATCCATAAGTTTAGATATTTGGTGTATTAGGATATAAATAAATAAAAGAATATTATAATAACAAAAATAAAAAATATGATCGCTTACGCTAGAACAAAAATATAAATTAAACTTAACAAATTATGGATATTTATGGATGAAAGTGTATATTTAATTAATTTATCCTTTTAATCCTCTGACTGTTCGAGTAAAGACTAAAATCAAACAAAATAGATAGTCAGGAATCTGCGTTCTGGAGAGAAGATACAAGCTGCAGGCCATCATCCTCCTCATTCTGGTACCGTGAATCTTACCCTCGCGGCACTAACACCAGCTCTAGTGGCTGTACTGGTGGTGCTGACTATGCTTGAGACCGAGACCAATGACTCTCTGGAACCGGTCTTCCTCAGGGACGTGTTTAAGGCGGCGCCTGTCGGCCTGTGTACCATACATGATGACCTTTTGCTGGTTGGTGACCGGCTAACCTTGTGCGCGGGTGCGAACAGACCGTATTTGGGTCGACACTCGAAATACCTGAATGAATGCTAAACTAATTAGTAAAGTGAATGCAGGAAATAGAAGTTAATAGATAAAATTTATTATATAAAATTAATGGAATTGCAAAGTCTAATTGTTTTTTAAAAAAATGATAAAATGAGACAGAATAGATAGTGATAATAAATCTGAAGGTTGTCGTTGTTCTGCATTCAATCGAGATTATAAATATAGCTTTTAGCATGATCGAATCGCGTTAATTAATTCTACCTTGCAGAACTGTATAAGAAATCCGATTGAACAAAACATTTCTTCCCACGCTGCTGCTTTTTGATAGAGAAACGTGTGATTCTCTATTGTATAATCTGAACTGAACATTTCAACCGCTCGAAATAAAGATATCGAAGAAAAAATAATAAATTTCAAGTAGATAAACGAAATATTTTTAAGAGGTTAAATAATAAATAACTGAGAACAATAGAAAACCAATCGAACGAATAACAATAAAAAAGTTCGCATGTATTTAAATAATATAGTATCATCCAAAATGGAGGATATTTCACACGATAAAAAAAAAAAGACGATCTTGAGTAACTTAAAATTTTCAGAGAGATATTATATCAGATTATAAATTTGAAATAACGATGCAGACCTTTTATCATTGACGGAACCATCATTTTTCCCAATCGGATCATCCAATTCCACTCCACACCATTCACCGGCTGCAAACTCTGTCGTGCCGTAATACTTGAGGACACCAGTTTTACTGCCTTGGCTGGATGATACTATTACCCTGTCACCTATTCTGAGATCCCTCTGGGACACCGTGGACGATAGACTCGTCATTGATGCGTCTGCGTGACGAGTTATAAATATTTTTCTTATAACGTGTGAATTTTTTGGAGAAAAAAAAATGCATGCAAGAAACATTAAAGTAACGTTGTACAATATAATTTTGTTAAAAAAATCTATATGTATATATGTATTGTAAGTAAATATTGATGATTGTAAGTAAATTATTAATCCTCAACTGGAAGAAACGAGAAAAAAGGGGTTTCTTGGCAAATGTAAGATTTATATTTAATAATTGTGCTTTAATATTAGAAATTTCTGAATATAGATATATATGAACTATAAAGAATCTTAGTGAATCCATTTGGATATTTCTAGAACTTTAGTTTTAAGGTTGAATAATAAGAAATTTTTCTATGTTCCATTTTTGTTTTGTTTTTATAGAATATTTTATAGAATAATATTTAAGATGTAACTCTAATATCAGTTGAGGATTACTCCAAAAATGCACATTTAACTTAACAATTTTGACAATCAATGAAAAAAAAGTGAGGAAGCTATTCAATTTATTTATTAAACACATAAAACTTGATATATAGAAATTTAATTATATAAATAATAAACGTGAATAAATGTAGACTACAAGACAAGAAATGCAGAGATTGCAAAAGACAATAATACAATCGTTTCTTTCAAAGAGATTCAAAATACTGAATAAAAATATTAAACAGCCTACTACATATTAGACACAACAGTAATAAAAGTAGCCTACATAGTGCGATTTTAAAAGCTACACAGCGTGCAACTAGACATTCCATTCAAAGCGTAAACAATTTTACAGAGAATTTTGCAGAATTTCTCTTTACCTGATTTTCCATAAAACAATTTACCATAAAACAAGTGATACAATACACAATTTACAATTTACAATCCTACCATAATTATACTACCAATTTTTACCTTAAACCTACAAAATTCTCGAGCATCGAACATGATTCCTTTTTTATTCTACAATTCTACCAAAGAAGAAATTCAAAAAGGGTGAGATACATAAGAAGAACATATTCTTTCACATTCCCCTTGCACAATTCTCATTCCCAACGTTTCTCAAACAAAAGTGCAAGCACACTACGGACGAGGAGAGTATCTCTTGCAGCGATCCTTACTCAGAGACGGAGACATGGATTTGCTGAGACTTCCTTTCGAGCTGTCAGGTGGCGAGGTGGGTGTTTTTTGTGTGAGTGAGGCCTCAGAGGTATCGGGCAACGGTGTCCTGGTCAGTCTGGTCAATCGTGAAAATATTCCACGTTTCGGTTCGCATTGGAAATATCGGCATCCGGCCACGGATCCGTCGTTTTTGCCTGAGGGATCCATTCCGTTCTGTTAATTTTCATCGAAGATGCGATTTCCTCTTCGTCAAGAATTAGAGAAGGCAGGCTTACCGATCGGTTCGTCAAGGACCACTCCAGCCCAGTCTCCAGGTGCAAATTGAGTTTCGCCGATATAGGCGATGGCGCCTGGTTTCGTGCCACCAACCCATACTCGATCTCCGATAATAAAGCTGTCCGTGTCCTCGGTAAGGACCACGCTGTTATCTGTCCAGGGCGGAATTATAAGTGTTTAATGGCATCATTTGAATTCTGTGCCTCTTTCGATGGAATTTTCTTTACTGAATTTCTCTTTTAATATTCCTTTCCTTCTTTTTTCATCGCGATAATTATTTGGAGAAGATGATATTGGGATATGATTGAATTGATCAAATTTTTCCTTTCATTTATTTCAGAAAGATGAATTGGGATAAGGGATTCTTGCAATATTCGTTAGTCGTAGAATTTTTGATTGAAGTGAAGAAATTTCGTGAATCTGTGTACAATTTTATATTTCTCTTTTATATTTTGGAATTAAATATATATATATATTTTGATGAATTGCTTAATATAGTGTTGAGAAAACTCTCTTATCCGGATGGAATAACTTAAACTCCTTTTATTTGTTCATTAATTTAAATTTTCTGTTGATCATTTGATGACATTTCAAGCGCATGTGCAACAATAAAAAGCTACGAGAAGATTCGCAAAAGAAGACGATGCAATCGAATACAATTATTGTTATCGTAGAGTGATGCGAGAGCCATCGCCCATTTTAAAGAAGATTAGTCATGTCTGAAAGAATCTGTGGTCATAGATGTGTTGATTGAAATACTTTGGAAATCACGTTTTTGGATGAATGCCAATATATAACAGCGAAACTACGTGATTCGTGTATTAATAAAAGAATTATGTGATTATAAAACGGAAACAATATAAAGCAAATTTTGTTTATATATTTCTACAACATGTACATTCAATCATTGTATATTCTCTTCCTAATTCCTTTCCTAAATAACATATTATTTTTACAATACAAATTTTGAATAATTAATTCTAAATTCTACATTATTAATTATTGAGTTCAAAATTAAAAAAAAAAGATCTAACAATTGACAATTTAATATGCAAACATGTGAGGTAGTCAGGTATCTTATTCTAAATTATAATTTAATATACATATACCTATATATTTTATATTACCTATTAATTATTTACATATTTAAATGTTAAAAAAAATAGGCGATAAACTTTACATCTCTCCGTTGAAATGTTCTAAGACACAATGCATAAATATAAAAAATAAATAAATTTAAAAATAATAAAAAAAAAAAAAGAAAAAAGACACCTACCTGATCCTCTGCGCAGGCCAGCTTCGCTTAATCGACGGCCATGCGTTTCCCAAAGATGATCCATTTGGCCTGTGATCATGCAAAACAATGCAAAACAATGCAAATCATACAAAACGAAAGCGTAATTTCACGGAGCAAACAAGCTTACCGCATTTTATTTTCAACCCTTGTTCAAGGATTGAACATCATAAAAAAATAAAAAAGAAATGAAAAAGAAAAAAAAAATTAAAATGGATGCAGTGAACGTCACTGTAATATAGAAGATTCATATATTACGATCATGCGTTACGCACGATAAAACAAATAATAATAATAGGTTTTTTAATTGCAATTGGATGATACGTAATAAGAGAGGAAGTTTATTTCCTACGGGGCAAGTTATTAAGCAAAGGGTTATGTAAAACAGGGATCGCAACGAGGTGTGTTCAAATCGATAATTATGCCTATACGGATTTTATACTTAACCCTTTTATGATAATTAAGTGATATAATATAAATTCATATATATATACTTTAAATTATTAAATAAAATTATCAATTAAAATTATATTAAATTCGAAGAAAATATAGATGTAGAATCAATATAATAAATGTGATGATTAATAATGGAACTTTTATAAAATGTTAAATTATTTATAAAATAAAATTTGAGATGAACCAATCTCTTTCATAAAATATTACCATATTAAAATATTAAATATTAATATTTAATATTTATATAATATATATAAAATATTATTCTTAAACAATTTTTTTTCATATCATTTAATCTAAATTATTCAATTGACAAATAGAATTTCTTTTTTTCTATAATATCGTAGATTTCTCAATGATAATTCAATTAGAATGTAAGACGAATGTATTATCTCGAAGCTTGCAACTATCCTATGATAAAAACCAGAGAAAAATGTCACGATTCGCGATTTAATTAGCTATTCATGAGTGGTTGGTGGGCGAGCCAATGGTAGTAGGTCGTTTGCGTAGGTAGAATTCTCTGTTCGACGAGATCGATTCGCGATTAAAATGAAACGATAGAATATAAAATCGTGCATATAAAAAATATATAAAGATGCTTTTTTATCACAGGATATTTTAAATATATTTAAGATTTAAATAAATTATGCAATTTTTTGAATGATAATAAAAACTAAGTAGAGACAAAATGTTTAATTTGGATAATAAATAATGTATAGAAGTGAAAGAGTAATAATAGATTCATTGTTATGATTTTTTAAGATTATTGAGTAATAAAAAAATAATGGGATGACTAATTGAGAAGATAAGTGAATAATATCAAAACAATGAAAAAACAATGAAAAAACAACGAAGAAGTATTATTTTTTCTCGAATAGATTGTAAAAAATAATACAAATAATTTATATTTGATAATAAAATTATTGTATAATAATAATAAAAATCTCAGAATGAATGTTAAATTCAAAGTTTTGATTTAAACTTTGATTTACTCATGTATTCTTATAAAATCAATCTTCAAATGCTAAAACGCAGTTCTACTGTCAAAACGCTATATAAAGATCGATGCATCATCGTCTAACGCATCAAATTGTTAGACATGAGTCAACCTAAAAAAAAAAAAAAAAAAAGTAATACTGAAGAAACAATGCAAGTCCAACGACCAATTGAATCCAGGTAAATCCTATATATAATGAACAACTATATAAACATACAGTAGGATTTCTTTTACTCTATTTCTAAAGATAAATATACTACACAAGAGAGTAGAGAGTACTAAAATAAACATTGTATTGTGTCAAATACCTTGACCGCGTAACACATGGTATACTTGGTAATAAGATACGTAGAGTAGTCATACAATCCAAGATACCTTGGTTCCGCACGAATGTGGATGATCCATATGTAAACAAGGTTAATGGTAATATCGATTCGATTACTATTGATATACTATAGTTGTCAGATAGCAATTTGTTCCTGGAATCTAATCTAATGAATATTTAATTGTAGTTCTCTGTTCCAGAATCATTTTTCAATCATGCTCAACAAATAATGTATCAAATTTTTCTTACTTTCTTGACAAATTGGAGAGTTTGATGATTTCAATTTTTTTAGAAATTAGAAATTAAACATTTCTAATGAGATTTATCTGAAAATTAAAACTATTAGAAAACTATTATTGAATTGAGAGAATTCAGATTTCTATTCTTATAGAAAAATTCTAATAATTCATTTCTTCAATGTCACTGAAACAATCTTGATTGAATTAATTTCCAAATTCTTTTATTCTTTCGATTTTATATTTTATAGTTTACTCGATATCATTTAATTTTTGAAATAACAAATTACACACTGAAAGTTATATTAAATTATTCATGTTAAAAACTTATATTAGAATTAATAATGAATTGAAGATTATAAAAAAATTTAAATATGAAAATAAATCCTAAATAAATCTCTATATTCTAAATTCTTAATTAAAATAATTTATAATTAAGAATATTTCTAAAATTCTTATGAAAAATTATTCAACAAACATTTAAATTTAAATTTTTTCCAATAGATAAAGCAAAAATATAATTTTTCAACAAAAAAGAAATTTAATCTCTCTCAATAAATTTTATTTGTATTTTTTTTAACATTATTTTAAATAATGAAGTCATTTAAGAAAATATCAAGGATATAAAAAATTATATTTTGGATCTAAATGGTGTCTGACCATTAAATAATAATAAAAAAGATAATGAATGCAACATATTACATATTATATTAGTGGCGCTAATAAAAAAGTAAATCAAATTCGTGAATCAATCTGAAAACCAGTCGTTGTCGCTTTAAATATCAAAGAAAACGAACAATATTTTCAATTTCGTTCTCTATATCTAGCCGATGATGTCTTATTATTATTTGTGTCATGTGTTTGCATTATTTAGCCAATGAATTTTATAAATGTTGATTATCAAAAATCATAGAAAAAGAGCTTAACATCATACACAGATATTGATCTGAATAATCTTCATTGAAGATAATTAAAATGAGAATAAATTCTTGATATGACCATGGATTATTTTAAATAAAAGAATGAAAGATTAACCGTTAACTTTTGCCTTATTAACATCTTTAATAAATTGCTATATTAGGAAATCATTAAAAAATTTCAATGAAAGATATATCAAATAAATAAAAAATAAAATTTATAATAAATAACATTCACGATTCTCTTCAATAGTATTCTTATCAAATTCAATAGGAAAAATATTATAATAAAAATAAAATAATATAAAGTTATAAAAATAAAAGATCATAGTTTCTTTATGATCTTTTTTAACACAGAATTACGGATAATATTTCAATAATATGTTAATCTTGATATGTTAAGTATCAATATTTTAAAGTCATGGATCACTATGAATTTCCTTAATAATCAATATCAGATATCGAAAAATTGTATCCAGGTATGTGTTTCCATGTGGAATTGAAATCGATTGACATCGTTACCTTGAGCTTTTCTATCGTGTTGCGAAACTCGAGCCCGATCAGCAATACGTGCGCGATTGATCATGGGTGCAAGATAGACGCCGTGAAAATCTCTGCCCGAAATGGAAAGCATGGCAAGCACGTGGGAGGAAAGACGGAACGCACGGTTGGAAATTGAGCGTACAATAAACACATGCGAATTGCATAACGTAATGTGCGTCATACGACGATGACTGCACCGGCACTACACGCGTCGCGGTCTCTTCCTAGTCAACGAAGTCACTGGATGAACCAATAAGGCAAGATAGCTGCCCTCAATGCGAGACCAGGAGCTTTTGTACGCGGCTAGCATCTCTTTCCGCTCCGCGCGCCATGAATAATCGAATAGATTAATATGTAGATCTTGCGGCTATTCTAGAAGAAGATCAAGATTTATAAAATCTTTATAAAAAAAAGTATTGATGGAAAAAAGAATTCATACTTATATAGAATGTTGGAGAAATATTAAGGATTTAAAGTGATGATATTTAAGATAAATTGATAAATAGAAAAATCACCAGATTTTTAAAGAAATTATTTGATAGACTTTAAGTTTTATAAATAATGAATTATATGATATGTTTTTGTAAAGTAAGAAACAATAATATTTGATAATTGTATTGGGAATTCAAGAGAATCAAAGATACAATTGCTATATCAAAGTTAAATATCCATCATGAAAATAGAACCAGTATTTAATTTACTAATTTACTAAAATATAATTTTATAATAGTGAGGAAAAGAACTAAAATATGAATATAAAATGAAATAATAATATTTTTAAAATATACTTATATTTTTAAGAAATAATCAAATAACTTCAAATATGAAGGATGAACAACATACAAAACCTTAACAAAAATTAACTTCCAATAAATCCTAATAAAAAATTCAACAAGAAAATCCACCAATGCTTTAAAAAAAACATCATAACAGAAAACACAATCAATTTACTTGCAAAAAGCAGAAATGATACTGTGTATCATTCAACGATCCAGAGTTAGTAACAACAAAATAAGGATTCACTTTACCATTGCATCTGTAATTTCTTCAATGAAACAAAATGTTCACGGTAATCGATAACGATCGTAGATTTGTTAATGAGAAGTCGATATATTTACCAGATCGCTCGGACGAGATGCGTTGCGCTGAGAGGTGGAAGAACGACTCGCAAGAAGTTAGCGAGTTCGGGCTTGTAAAAGTATTCGTTCACGCTCGTCTCAGGGTCTCGTGGGCGTACTCATTTACGTGGTGTGGGGAATTAACGGATCCCAGCTTCATACTGCTGTAACCCTTTATTTGTATCGTTTCCTCGCTTGATGTATACATGGGCTAGGTATGAACCAAGCTCGATGATTTGTTAAATTCGTTTAAATTTTTTATAATTATTGTCAATGCAGATTATAAATATAAATATAAAATGATTCTTCTTCTTTTTTCATTTATAAATAATATTGTAAAAATAGAATAAAATAAAATATTTATATTTTAAATAATATAATGAAGTATATACTGTGATGATATAAATTTCAAATATATTTGTGTAATTGGATTATCTATATAATAACAACCTCAAATAAATTATTTTAACCAAACCACACGGCTGTGTATAGTTATGGCATTTTTTAAAATATTTAGAAATTCTTATCAAAAATTAAATGTTTTACATATAGCAGACAAAGAACATTAAACATACAAAATACATTAAAATTTAAGCTAAGGAAATAATATGTATGTAAATAAAATTATATAATTTTTTCAAGACATGCATATATAATATAATGTAATAAATAAATTTATTAAAGACTTACTCATTGATGGTCTTGGAGGTGATGGTGGAACTGCTGGTCTTGGTGGTAAATTGCTGCATGGTCGACCAATTTTTGATGGTGGTCTTATTCCAGATGGTTTTGGATCAGACATGTTTTACGTATGTAACAATATTATGTAACACTGAAATAAAAATAATGGATTAATAAAATTGAAAAAAAAATTCAAAAAATATAAATAAAATGAAAATTAAAAAATATAATCATATATTAATATTTTAATAGAATATTAGTGCAATGAAAATAATAGTATATATAAAACATCAAATACAATAAATTTTTTAATTTAAGATATATCATTTAATATTACAAAAAAAAGAATATAGCTGCAAAATATTAATTTTGTATTAAATATTCGAAATATTGAATTTATGAAAAAATCAAAGATAATTAATAAAGAAACTACAATGACACACTAATAATTGGTTCTAAAGCAATGTTTACATTCAGTACTCTAAGGTTAAATATATTTGTATTATTCAAAAGTAAAATGCGACAAAAAATTAAATATTTCTATTTCCGTTATTCTAAACGTAATATTGTGTTTATAAAAATATAATATTATCTTTTTGAATTCGTTTCAAAATTTCCTACAATATGATAATAAAAAAAAATCTGATCTTATTTGAAATATTCAAGGTGACCTTGGTTTTGTTGTGGAAACAAATTATTTTCGAAATTTTTATTATTACCATTTGTTGTATATTCGATACCGATAAATTTTTGTTTAAAATTAGCAAATAGCCGAAAAATCGTTTATTACGTTAAATAGGACACTATATATATATATATAAACAGAATAATTTCAGTTATTAACATTAAAATAATTTTAAATTAACTTAATAAACAATCTTTAAATTTTACATTTGTATTTTATTTAATTTCTGTAAAAAAAAGTATATTATGTTAAAAATTCAAAAATTATAATTAAGAAATCGTTATATTATATTAATCAAAATCGACATTTAAATTGCGTATATAATTATAAAATATGCAATAATTATAATAAATGCTGACCCTTAAAAATAGACATACGAATATAACTATTATATTTTTATTCAAAAATAAAATATGTTAAAACATAAATTTTGTTTGAAAAAAATATTAAAATATTAAAAAAATGTCAAATGGAAAGTTAACCTCTTCGGAATCAATATTAATCATTAAAAATACAATCATCATACCTTATTTAATTGTGATATGATGAATTTACGTACAATTAATTAACATATTTTACAATATCACTATATTTATGAAGAAGCACTATAAAATATTCGCACAAATTCACACAGTGATCAACGGAAAAATGACAATTAGTGGCGCCAGAAGCGCCGTTACGGTCTACTTATGAATTAATTTAGAATTCTCTGTCAATTTTTCTTCGTATTTCAATATAACCACAAATAAGTTATAAAATAGATTTACTAACTTATAGAATTTTATTTCATGTTCTGAAATATTAGTAGCACAAAAAATCAGACTGTTTAGTATGCTCTACGACTTAGAATAGTGAATATAAAAATTATATTTAATTCATTATATTCAATTCAATCACAAAATTTGATAAAGTCAACAGAGTTAGTAAAGTTTAAAAAAATAAAAATAATTTTTTTAATACATTTTATATAGCATTCATTGTATTCATTATTGATTTTTTAATTGCGAAATAGATTCCTGTATGACTTAAATTATTCATGAATTAAAAATTACATTTATTACATTTTTTTATTATAACATAATATCAATTTGTGAACTTTTTTTATTAAAACTGAATTTATGTATACATATTGTATATTATATATGTGAATGTCAGTATAGATAAGAAAACATAAACGATTTTATGAAAATTTGATAAAAATAAAAATATTTCATTAAAATCATATAGAAATTGTAAATATTTCTCATTTTTTTTTTTGACAACTTTCAATTGTTATTTTTATTATACAATGATTAACAATATGAAAAGAATAATATAAAATTGCATATAGGATAAGCAAAGAAAAATAAAATAAAATTAATTAAATATTTGAGTTATTTTTTACATAAATTTGAACATAAATATATAAATACAAACAAATGAGCAAATAGAGTAAAAAGGATAAAAATAGAGTAAAAATTCGGGAATTATCTCTGGAATATGTCAAATGAAAATGAGCAAAGATAACAAATAATAGAAAAAGATAGAAATAGAATAAGTATTTTAGCATCATTTTTTAAGTCAAAAATATCTTTTCAAAGATTGTTTTTTTTAGAAGCATTTAAAAAATGATGTTAATCCTCTTAAATTCTCTTACTTGAATATAAAACTTTAAATTTGCCGCAAGAAAATTCATTTGCATTTAATAGGAGTAGCATAATGTTGTGGCAACTCTGAGTCAAACCATTGATTGATCATTGAAATATGACGTTTCAAGAATTCTTAGAAATTGTGTCGAAATAAATGTATGAAGAATATTTTTAAAGTAAAATTAATATTAATAATAATTAAAAGAAAAATTAAAATATCATAGTATAATATAAGAAGTAATAGTGAATAATTTAAAATTAATTAATGAAGAACAATCACGTCAGAATGTCTTTACATGATATGTGATATCGTTATATAAATTCTGTTAAAAAATTCAATTTATTCTTTAATGTCAATATGAAAATCTCTTATTATTAAAACAAATCAATATTTGATAATTAAAATAATTAATATTAATATAAACATTTTGAGATTAAATAAAAATGACAATTGATTTATCAACAGTACCACTTGTTGCTTTATCTATCGAATCTACACAAGTTATTTCATCATTATTAAATTCGCCAAAAGTTATTCCTTGCGAAAATAAATTACCAAGGTAATTAATATTTGATTAATATAATTTTTTAAAATTTTATCTCCATTAAGTTTTTAAGTAATCAATAACTTTTTATATTTTTAAATTTTTAGAGACTGGAGAGGTCTTGCTCATTTATGCGAATTAGGCGGAGAATTAATGCCCTTACTTATATCACATCCAGATCCAACTGCATATATTTTAACATATTGGAAAAAAAAACAAAAAAATATTACAATTAAGGATTTTCAAAATTTATTAGAAAAAATCGATAGATGGGATATTTTAGATGATACATTAAAGCTTTTTGGTTCGTAATTATAATATTATATATTCTACTTTAAATTTTTCTCTATCATATTTAAATTGCAGTAAGAGATGGTGAAAAATATTTAGAACAATCGCAAAAGTCTCAAACATCAGCTGAAAAAATTGAAAATGACAGTGAGATAGAAATTCTTACTGTAGGTAAGTTAAATATGACAGTACATAAATAAAGCAAGTAAAAATTATTACGTATATATATATATATATATATATTATTTTTTTTTAATAGATGATCTCTATAGAAAAGAGCAAGGATTATCGGAACAAAATTATGATGCATTTATATTATATGCTGATGAAGACATTAAATTTGCTAATGAAATGGTGGATAAACTTGAGAAAGAATATAATTTGAAGGTAAAAATTTAAAATTATTTTATATTATATATAAAAATATATAAAATATATTTTTTAGCTTTGTTTAAAAGATCAATTACTTGGTGGAATTACCTTTGAACATGAAGCAGTAATGAAATTAATATCAGAACGATGTAATAGGTTAATTGTTATTATATCACCAAATTTTCTTAAAAGTCCAGCAAATAAATTCTTTTTGAATTATGCTCAAGCATTGGGCATTGGTAAGTTTTAATACGTATTCCTTAAATAATATAATTTATGGTTTTAATTTTGTATGTAATTTTTGAATCAGGAAGTCAACAAAGAAAGATTATACCATGTTTATATGAAAGATGTCGATTACCACCTCAATTACAATTTATGGTCATATTAGATTATAATAAATTGGTTTCATATAATTTCTGGGGAAAATTAAGAGACTCTGTACAAGTATCAAATAAAATAAAAGAAAATCTAAATATTTTTCCCATAAAAAATGACAGCAATTTGAATGTGAATAATGAAAATGATAAAGATAAACAAAATACAAATAATGTAGAAAGAAAGATTGAAATAGAAAAGCTTGAAATACAAAATAAAAAACAACGTTTAATATAAAGGGAATTCAAACCAATTTGAATTTGTTAGTATAAATAATAATTCAAAGGATAATAATAAAAAACATAATCATTTTTTATTATGGTCTAAAATGTGGTCCAAAAAAAGAGAAAATAATAAAAAAGAAAATGCTTCAATTACAAAAACAGTTAGTTTACCATCTATTGAAACTTTGGATCCATTAAATTCATCAACAGAATTAATGGAAAAAAAGAGTAAAATAAGACTTATAGATAAATATAAAAATATAAAAAAGTGCAATTTATTAAGTTAGTATTTTTAAAATACTTATTAAGTTGTAAAGAAACATTTATTACTAATTGTTTTACTTTATAATTGAAGAAATAAAAATTGTAATAAAGTATATAAATTCATAATATAGATATAGTATGTATATAATAATGTATATATAAATAATATAAGATAGATTTATATTAAACATTTTTTTATCTAAGAAAAAGTTAAATCTTCATGATTCATTAATTAAGTGTAAATAAAATTAGGTTATCAAAATTTAAAGAAAATAAATAATGATATACTGAAATATTATTAATTTTCTTATAGATAAAAATGTAAATATATATTTTAAGAATATATAAATTATATATAAATTAAAATTAATTAAAATGAATCCTAATTGAAATTTCAGAAAAGGAAATCTAATTAAATAAATAAATAAAAATAAAACTTTTAAAGTAAATATTTACATGTATATTTTTATAAAAATAAACAATTAATATTAATATTAGTATTACTGTATGATTAAACTAATATTAATAAAATTTTACAAATTACTAATTACTAATGCTCATAAATTCTCTTGAACATTAATAAGTTTAATAATAAAACAAATGAAATTTTAGTAAATTTATATTTTAAATAAGTAAATTTTATAAATTATTCATGATTTAATATAAAATTATAAAAAAAAAGTTATAATACACAACTTGTTAATATTATTAGTTGATAAATTATATTATAAGAGGGCTCTGACATCGAAAAACGTGATGATAGTTGTGCTTGTCTATTTACGCGAATAAGAATTTTCTTTATTTATTATTATTAAACATAATGTGAGTTGGTTACAGAAAATATAATATTGTATTAAGTAAATCTTTCCCACAGAGAGTTAAAATAGTGAAAATATTAAATTGATTTATATCACAGGACAACGATCGTTAAATGTTTTCTGTAATATAATTCCCGCCAAATTTTTTACATTGTGGCGCTATTAATTGACATTGTTTTTAATTTTGTTATGTTTTTTATGATCTAGTATCATGTTTCAAACAAATATTAACTATCATTAAAAATAAAAAAAGACTAAATATATGTTTTATAATTTAAATAAGAAATATTAAAAATGGTTCGTCGAAAAAGTAATCCGAGGTTAGTTGACATAAATTTATATGATTAATATTAAATAAATTAATATAACAAAATGATATATAAATTGATTATAATTATATATTCGATATTCGATAAATTTAATTCTCGAAAAAATTATTAACTTTTTAAATTATTTTGTTTAAATGTTTAAATTTTAAAAGATATATAAATATAAATATTTCACAAAATTAAAAGATCATTAAATAATTGCTTAAAAATTATTGATAAATTATTATTTCAAGGAAAATGCTGCAATAATTATTTTAGATTCATTTTGAAAAGTAATATTTCTATTGTGCGCCTCACAAGAAATCCCATGAAAGAAATACGAATTTGATTGGTTATTTCTAATAAAGTGAACAATTATATAAAATAGAAGTATCTCTTAAGTATCTTAAGTTTTTTATATTTAAAGTTTTTTATATTTGCATATTTACAAATATTATATAGCATTTTGTACTCGTGATTAAAGAAATAAAAAACGATATGTGAAATGATTTTCTTTGAAAATTTTATAAAATCAAATTCTCTAGGGAATTATTTATTCATTTTTTTCGAGATATTAACGACTATGAATTTTAGAATTAAAACAATTTAGAAATCGATAATTTTTTGGCAAAAATTTAATGATGCTTTAGTATATAGCATTAATATAAATATTATTATATAATTATGTGAAATATTTACAATTATGCATGTTTAACTGATACAGGATTGTATTCGGAATACGTTAGTTATTCGTTAAATTTTCTAGGAATTGAAATTCGTCATGGAATTCAAATTAAAAGTAACAAACATAAAATAGAAATCGAAAACATCGAAAATATTGAAATTGAAAAAAAAATTTAACGCAAATTTCAGAAATTGTTAGGGATAACTGTGTCAGTTAAACGTGTAAAAATTATGTAAGTTAAATGCATTACTAATTATATTTTTTTTGTATGAAATTTGTAAAAAATGTAGTTTTATTATTTTAGATCAATTGATGATCCACAAAAATCACCTAGCATAAAGTCTAGAGTAAGTGTATTTTTAAGAATCAATATAATTATTTAAATATTTTTAATATTTCAATATAAAATCGATTATATATATAAAATATTATTATTATTATATATTTTTTTAGCCAAATATATCAGCAAACAGACGAACACTTCGGACAGCGCGAGCTTTAAAAGAAATTCGATATTTAAGAAAAACTGTAAAATTAATTATACCAAAAGCTCCTTTTGCTCGTTTAGTTAGATATATTATTATAGATTTATTTCCTAATAGTGACGTAGACAGGTAAAATTTTAAATATCTAAATTTTAAATATAAATTTAATATGTTCTAAACTTTAAATATTCAACTCACTTTTATAATTCATATCTAGAATTCAAGCATCTGCACTTGAAGCACTGCAAGAAGCAGTTGAAGCATATATTGTTCAATTTTTTGAAGATTGCACGTTATTGTCACAACATGCAAAACGTGTAACTCTTCAAATTCAAGATGTAATTTTATTGCGTCGACTTAGAGGAAGGGATGATATTATAAATAGATAAAATAATTTTATTTTTAAATTCATCATTTGTATCATATAATTAATTGAACATTTATTTCATATATAATTAATATTATTAAAAAATTTTAACAATTTAATGTAACAAACAACAATTAATGTATAATATAAATATAAAAATTGCAATTTTTGCTTTATGAAATAATATTTTAAATAATATTTTATATTTGTAAAAATGGAATTTTTTAGTATCAATAAATTAAACTTGTATTGGTTTGTTCAATAAGATTTATTTTATAAGAAACAAACTTTTAATAAAATTCTTTTACTTTACGAAACTTTGGTAAAATATACATTTCTCAATTTTTAGATAGGTCTTTAAAATAATATACGTCGAAGCTTCGTAATTCATTTCATATAGATTTTGTTTGAACTTTCTATGTACGTATGTAAAATAACCTCAGTTAAAAGTGATACAGTAAAAACGATAAAATAATATCGTAACCAATTGTTACGTTTAAATTTCTTTTGTTATTTCGTGCGGGTTAGCTGCCATCACTGACGACATATGTCATAAGTGAAACACATTATGATAATCTAAAAAACCGACTAAAAAATAGTATTACAAATAGCAATGCTATCTATCTACGCATTTATATGTATAATCTATAATACAATTTGATAAGGAAATATAAAAGTTACCTGAAAAAACAGGTTACTTTTTCATGTTTGTATTACATCGAAAATATCTCGTACTTCTCTTTTTTTCGCATCTCTTTCTCTCACTTTCATTTTCATTCATTCACTCATTCATTTATTCATTTTCTCAATCCTGGATTTCTGAAGGCTTTTCTTTAGGCACAATATTAATTACATTTTTATGCTGCCTGTATTGTACAGAAGTAAGATTACGATAATTCGTAACTTCATTAGCAATATTTCATAATCATTTTTTTTATTTGCTATACATTTTTTAAGTATCATGTATATTCACAGTTAATAGGAAATTAATTTTAGAAAAATTTTATATTATTCTTTTCCTTTTTGTCCTTTTAAACATTTTAAATATGTACATTCATTACGATCATTATGAAATTAAAAAAAAAAAAGAGAGAGAAAAATATTGTTTATCGAGGCAAGTTTATAAATCTCGAAAACATTTAATACAGAATAGAAAAACAATTTTAAGCGAATATACATATACCACATTTGGTTGCAAGAAGTCGTATAGTTGGATTTACCAAGCTCGATCGACAACATATTTACTATAATTAATCAAATTGTAAAATTAAATAACAAGTCTTTATATTGCCATAATTTGAAGAAAGTTATTTCTTCATGAAAGACCGCACTTTATTTACGCATTTATCCATAAAATTTTTCTTTCGTTTCGGCTCGGCTCCTGTTGGAAGTGAAAGTAATGAACCTTCTTCTTGCGACTTAGATTTATATTCGTTTGATAAAATATTTTCGTCGGAATCTAATCCCGCACCACAGCTCTTCGCTTTAAGAAGTGTAGATTTATCATTTCCCGTTACCACCAATCGTTTTTTTAATTCTGCACTATCACAAGGATCGATATTTTCTGAGCTTGTCTGAGAGTCCTCTTTCTCATGTTCCATACTCGAAGTATCCACACTCACAAATCGATATGGTTTCGATGGTCGCATTAATAAGTGTTCTTCTTTAATACTATTCTCTTCAGAACTTGATTTTTGAATTTCTTCTTGTTGAATAACAGTGACTGATTCTGATTTCGTTTCTGTTTTCAATCGTTGCCTAGGAACTGGTATTGGACTCTGATTCTCATTTGTTTTTTGATCATTAGATTCATTAGAATAAAGATTAACGATTGATCCTTCTACTTCATTCTGTATTTTTTGTGATACAATTTGAGAAAGATTATCTTCTATTTTAATACCAGAAAGTTTGTCTAAAGGCTTCAGAGATATTTTAGAATCAATTTTACTATCGTTACATAGCTTAGACGACTCTTCAGTCTTCATATCTGGCACTACACTATCTTCATCTAGTAAGCCATCTAAGCTTCTAGACCTTGGTCTCACTTGTGCTTCTGATTCTTTAACAGGCGAGACTGATTTTTTCTCATTTGGATCTAATAATTCTAATGAACGAGATCTAGTAGATGGAGAAGGAGGATATCGCGGAGGTCTTTGCGGCACTGGACTTCCTCCAGGATGTGTGTGAATGAACTTCAATCTCGGAGACGTAGGTGGTAAACCTATTAACCAACGGGACGGACTTGATGATTTTCTAAGCCTGCAATATAAATAAAAACAATAATAGATTCTAATCATGCAATTGAATAAATAAGCACAATTATTTTGATACAATTACAAGTACAACAATCATGCAAATTATCTGTTTTTTCATTATTTCAAGATAGATTATCATTTGTTTTTCATATTCATATTGACTTGTCTTTAAATAATTTTTTAAAAATATTATATAAATGTTGAAATATTACAACATGAATAAGAAAATAATTGTTAAAAAATCACTTTTAGATTTAAATACATTTAAACCTATATTTCAAAATTACAAATAAATAATAAAAATTAAACTAATGATACAATAATGATATCAAATAAGCAAATAACATAAAGAGCAATTTGATAAGACACCAATTGAAACATAAATATAAAATTAAATTTCTTCCGACTGACCTAGACGTGATTGATTGTCTAAAGCGCGAGTGTTAATCCTGGCTGCATAGAAATAAAAAAAAAATACGTTATAAAGAATTATTATAATCTAAGATTTAGTAAGACTAAAATTTATTAAATTGAATAATTTTATTTAAAAATGTATTACTTAATGTATTACTTAAAAATAATAAATACCTGTTTGATATAGCTGTGGGCGGGCCCTCTAGTCAATCTCGTCCTCCTGTTGAATCTTTATCACTACCTCTGCTTTCATTACTGTGCATACGTTGGTAGTTTGGTGGTTGTCGAATGTTCGTATTACCCGGTGTATTTGGTTGTGTCACATCTTTAGGTGCAATGCTTCTTGGAATATCTGATCTGACTGGTATTTCTCCTCGCATAAACCTAAGAATTAAAAAATTTTATTTTAAATTTATCTTTTATATGTAATTGTTACATGTAATATTACTTATGATATTAATGAAATTAGATATTTTTTTTAAGTTTTTTATGAATTATTATAAATTTGTATGATTACCTTTCAAGCTTGTCTACGCAAGCGTCTTGATAATCGTGAATCCATCGTACACCATTAAAGTGACAAACTGCTCGCATATCTTCAGGAAGTTCCTCAGGCTCTGGCCATTGAAAATTATCTATGATGGGAATTATATTACATTGCGATTGTAGAGCTGCTACAATTTCCTATAAACAGTATTAATGCTATATGAATTATTTGTTAACAATATTAATAATTTCTTTATATTTTCACAAAAATAAATCAATAAAAATTTACCCTATGAACCCAGTCTTTGCATTCGTTATCTTGTATACACCTTTCCAAAGCCTTGGGCGTTAGCACAAGGAGAAAGTGTTTTGCTTGTCTGATACTTTGCAATAAATTGTTATCGAATTTGCCAGCCTCTAGCCTTTCAACATCGATGAATACAGAGAAACCTCGCAATTGTAAGTGAACTTTTAATAAACTGGCCAATTGAGATCCATTTGATCTTCTATAACTAACAAATACATCTAAGGATTTATCTGGCGATTCGTCTTCCGATGAACCCAACTGATTGTGTTGCATATTTTTAATGGCATCCAATATCCTCAATCGATGAATACTGTTCGTAATGCCACATTCACTCAATAATTGGTCTTCAGATAAATTTCTTATAGAATCTTTATCAACACCAGCATTCAGCATACTATATGTGTAGATTGAAAATTCCTGACCAATAGATTGTAAGAAACTATTTAAATTCCCCGTGTCTCTACTGCTATAATCAGCCATCTTCTTCAAATTCTGCAATTCTCTAGTGAATCGTTTTCGCCTGATGCCATTTGCCAAACCAATATCTTCTTTGAGATTCTCTTCCGTTAGCTGCAGCAATAAATCACCATCAACTCTGCTTTCTACAAAGTTTTGAGCACATTCTGCGAATCCAATCTGTTTCACCCATTCTCGGACGTCCTCTGTGGACCAGAGAGGTACCTGTTGGCTAAGTTTATGGGGAATCTCTTCTCCAATTAAACGCAACGCCTGCGCCGCGTATTTGGACGCAATCGCATTAGGACAACTAGCTACTTTTTTTAACGGTTCGATGGCTCCTATTGCACGGAAGATTTCAGTCTTGCCCTGTTGTTTTTTGATTCCCGCTTCCATGCAGAAATGAAAGGCCGCCAGATTTCTAGCTTCTTCTCTCTTCGAGCTTAATACTGGTACAAGTCTTTCCAACCAATTTTTGCTCTGGCCATGTGCGTGCGCTAAATTTGATTTAGCAAACTCATAAGGATTATGCGAGGTGACGAATGGCTCGACTAAGTCCAAAGTACCAGATTTTAATACGGCAGCTTCAATCTCCTTATTAGCTACTAGTACAGCGATTGCTAGACAAGCATAATATTTGATATTATCATCATTGTGAAAAGCCAAAGGGAATAACCACATGGGTACTTTTCTCTTAATCATAGCTTCTTGATTTTCTGCACCTCCATAGAGAGAGAGATTGGCTAGAGCACCTGCACAATGTCTTAATGTCTCAATGTCATTTTTCCTGCATTCGAATAGAACAGCATCCAGACCACCTAATCTAATCACATCGCTACAGGTCCCTTCACTGTGTTTGAACAAATGTTCCAGAATTCCAGTACCTACTCTGGAATGGTCCACCGAGTTGGCGTTCTTCGTACACACGCAGGCGACGTTTACCACTTTTTCTAGACCATGTTCTACTACATGGGCCCTATTCTCCGTGGTCAGACATTGCTCTAGCAATCTAGCTGAGGAGAATTGTAACTCCTGATCGCTAGCCACGCAATTCGACATTAATAAGTCGAGACCACCTCTTGTTCTGAGAGTATTGCATAAAGTGTAACCTAATTCGTGGCCATATGTAGGCACTGCCCATGCTTTTCTAATTATTTCGTTCACTCTGTTTAGTAATAAAGGGGCTTTGTCATTTTTACAATCGTTAGCCTTCAAACGTTCTACGAAATTGTCCAAGAAATTGGAATACTTGGTGATAGCTCGATCGACATCTTGGGAATTTGATTTCGAACATAGAAGATCTAAATCGTCCAGAGGTAGCGAAAGGAGTTCATCCTCGGCTGGCCTCATGCCATTCATCAATTGATTTACTGCATTTGCTGCGCTGATCATTGACGATTTCGAAGTGACACCTTTGGATGCAATTGTGATGCTTGATTGGGAACTTGCTGAAGAAATATGTTTCTCGTGGTTGAAGATCCCGGTTGAAGTGACCGTTTGTCTTTGTTGTTGCGCTGCCATAGCTTTCTGAAAAAGGAAAGAAAAATTTCTCTCTTTAGAATATTTTTTTCAAAATATTATAAATATAATTTTCCACCAGTTTTCTTATAATTTAAAAAATTCATTTACATGATACTTTGAATTTGAAAGAGTCAAAAATATATTCTCTTTTTAAACTTTATTCATTTTGGTGTACAAGTTGGAATATAAATCATGAACAATTAAATATTCTTTTATATTTTTGATTTATTTTGATATTTGTCAATAATATTCTGTTGTACGAGGTTTCCAAGTTTCTCAAATGTAACTAAGAAAGGATATCATCAATCTTTGCAGGAATTCTAGGTTGGCGTTGAAACGAGCTATAACTTGGCGTCATAGAGAATTATCACGCCTGTGTCACGTCCGCTCCTGGTATCTTTATTATTTTTGTATCGCTACGTAATGCGACGAACATGACAGAGCCTCATAGCAATCCAAAATCGAATGTGAATATTCCAAAATTTTCCATTAACCTTCTTACTCTGTAAGAGATTAACTAATGAAACACTAATAAACATATAATTTTCTATGCAATCAAACAGAAGTTTAGAATAAATCTTGAACTTCTCTTTAATTTATAATAATCAAAAATCATTGCTAATTTAAAAGGGACAGTCTTATTGCAAAACTATCTATAAAATATCTTTAAATCAAAATATATAACTTCATTTAAACATTTTTTAAGTCGTTTAAATTAAATTGTAAGAAATTTAAACATAAAATAAGTTAAAAGATCTTTAAGATATCATATTTATTATATGAGAATTCAAAGAATCGACGAAAAATTATGCAGAAAGCGAATTTAATTTAAAATTAAATTTAAAAATGGTTCACAAGCAAAGTTCGAAAAAATATTTAAAGTTTTAAAATATTCCATTTCTAAGTAAATCGTACGCTTCCAAATTTCCAATCTTGAACAAGCCTTAAATACTTTTCCAAAATATTTATTTTTCCAATGGAATATACGAAAGGGATCGATTATAATTAAAACAAAAATGATGGCAAAAATAGAAGAAAACAGATACCATTCTAGAGTCGAGACTGCATTTCCGCAACATGATGGTTTCCGGCGTCTTTCGAGACACGATGGCGTGCTACCAAGCGGGAAATCGAGAAAGACTGAACATCGCCGGCAAGCTGGTCATCGTTTAAATCTGTAGTTCCTATTTTTCACGCTGTGGATCGCTCGTTCGTGTGTTATATCGAGTATAAATTTATGGAACTCGTCCGTAATCTACACATGTGCCAAACGAACGAGTATATGGCTGTTGAACAACCATAGGACTCTCGAATGTTTGGTGGCTGGCCAAACGTGAGTGGTTCTAACTCAATGGCGGCCATTTCGAATTTCGACATTGATTGTTATTCTGATAGTTGCCGTTTCTAGATATAGTGGGTTTTCAAAGAAAACTGTGAAATATTTATTCTGTGCGAATTTATTTTAGCATTTCTTGGAAGAGAGGAATTTTGAATTTCGATGCGAATTTTGTTTTGTGAATTATATATGGATTGATAATTTGGTTGCTGGAAATATCGATGAATGAGCGTTTTATATAGAACGAGGTGGCTACTATCGCCTCATAATCGTTTCTTATTATTAAAATCAGAATGCACAAAAATAGGATTTATGACGAAAAAAATAGGATGTAAATAAATATTTGACAATAATATTATTTTTTTACCTTCTCTGAACTGAAGGAATCACTCTGTAATTTCATCGTCGATGCAGCCATATTATTACTCTCTTGGTGCGATAAATCTCCAGCTTTTAGACTTCTCTGTTCCTGTAACAGATAAACGAAGTTTATTAATATTTTTACGAGGGCGGTTGAAATGCGAGTAAAATTTTATTTTATTATATTTTTCAACAATCTATATAAAGATAGCGTTTTAAAAATATTTCAACGAAGAAACTAACGTTTAAAAATATCTTCGATATTTTCAATTTCGTTTTAAATAAGAAAAGGAAGATATTTTAAGAATAACCTTGAAATGTTTTATCAGAAAAATAAAATAAATAATCTAAAATAAAAAATGATTTTAAAAATAAAAGTAAGCAAAAATATATTATCATTTATAAATATCCGAATTTTAATTCATTTATAATAATTATATACATAAATATTATTAAAATATAAAAAGAATAAAACTACTTTAATCATAGCGATAGAAAGTAATATTTGTTACTAAAAAAATTTAATTATAACTTAAACAATTCTAATTTAGTTATCAAAAATAAGCAATATTTCATCAATGGCGTATATATTCGCAGGAACTTAAAAATAGTATCAGGAAATAACATCAAAATAAAATCTGAATACTTCAAGTTCACGGTTTCAAATATTTCAAACGAATGGGAATCTTCAAACGATTTTGAATTTCGAAAATACAATACTAAAACGGTTTGATAAAGATTGCGAAAACTAACTAAGTTCCTATATTATTCTAAAAATATATTAAAATATATTAAACGAACTTCAAAGCGCTCGAGAATCTTTGAAGTACAATCTTCTAGAAAACCTTCGAGAAAATCAAACGATATTTATAAAATATATCATCGCGAAATAGCGAATTCTTTACAGACAAGGATATTTAAATTAGAAACGTATGTTGGAGGGAATTAGCTCGAATCTTTGTTCTAACTCTTTTATTGCATGAAATTTAATATTTATGAAAAAACTGAGATCAATGTTTTCTAACCTTTTTCAAGTTGCAATCTTGATAACATTCGATTAATATCTCGAATTATAATATTCAAATAATTTAAAAATTTTTCTTCTCTATATGAGATAAAGAAAATTTATATAAAAATGAATATGATTTTATTATCATGGAATAATTAAATCTTTTGAAATGAAAAAAATCAGTCAGATGACAATATCTATTATCTATTTATCAACAGTATACTATTAATGAATTTCTTGAGCGTTAATAGAAATGAAAGGATTAATCATTGATGAGAATCGATTCTTTTTATTTAATACTTTTAATAATATTAATAAATTAATATTATTATTAATTAAATTATTGTGTAAAGAGATTTTTGTCTGATTAGTTAGTAATTTATTTTTTAAAGAAGTTTTATTATAACAAAATAAATAATTTTAGAAAAAGAATTCATATATTGAAAATTTTTTAATGTTGAAAGATTTCTAATATTAATTAAGATTTCTAATAATAAATTGAGAGAGTAAAAAAAACGATTCACAAGTATAATTCCAATGAAACTCGCTATCTTCTAGATTACTAATCACACTTCAGTGAAAATCAATACATAACCTCAAATATCAATTCGGATACACGTAAAACTTTTTTCATTCATTATTATTTCTAAATATTAATCCAATATACAAAATAGAAACACACAAAATAAAGTTAATTTCAATTTCACCCTCAAACTATATATTACACACAAAAAAATTCTTCATTTAACAACACGCTAATCACAATTATTTCTACATTTCCATGAAGAAAAAGAAAAGTAAATGAAAAAACTCGATAAAACCAGAGAGTAAAATCTTTCACTCTCAATTTCCAAATTTCAATTATTTTCAACTTCTAAATCAAATTATGATAAAAATAATGACATCCTATTTTTTTTATCGGCAACATAAAATTTGCAATTAATCAATTACCAAATTTTTTATCAAAAGAAATGAAAAAAAATTCATGTTTCAAAAAAATACCGAAAATCAACGATGCCAGGCGAGGAAGTGACGCTCTGTACAACGCGGATCGACGCGGAAAACCTCGGAGAACGAGCTTTCACGACACAGTTCCATAACAATCTGTTTCGTCGAAAGCTCATCGGCCGCGGCTCGACCTCTCCACGACGCTTCTGACGTATTTCTCTAAATATAATCTCAGCGTCTCGTCACGGATCTGCATCATTTTCCGTGTTTCGTCCATCCCTGCCACCACCTTGCACGCGATTCCCCAGCCAAGCGTGTGCCCCACGTGGTAAACGCGATCGGCTTATCGTTTCTGACGGACTTTAGAGCGCGATTCGACAAAAAATCGCGAATAATTGCGATGATAGATCGCCAAGACGTTATTTTAGATTAATGTTTTGAAACATGTCTTTATTGAAACTATGCAGTATAATAGAATTTTCTTTTACCGATCGAGAATGAAAAGTTTATATAATATGTTATATATCGATAGAAGAATTTCCGTAATTATATTTAAAAAAAAAAAATTAATTCTCAGAGCAATATTTAAATCAAAACGTTCATTCTTTCATGATGTAAAATCAGACATTTTCTAAAAAAATTGTGACGCAAGGATTGTTCTTTTTTTTACGATCTAAAAAAAAATGTCGTCGACGAGAACTTTGGATCGTTCGTGTGTTTAATAAATTTTCACATTCTTTTTTTTCTTTTTTTTTTTTTTTTATTTTCTCTATACCTTAGAATTCATCGAAGCCGATCATTCGAATCGATAATTTTTCGCGCCTTCTTCTGTTTGTAGAAGAAGCTCGAGTTACTCGACGAGTTGGAATAGAGACGCGCGAGTAAATAAATTTAACAAATTTTAATGTATTTTCAGCGGTTTTCAGATATTTCTACGATCATTTACGTCAGCGACACGCGACTTTCAAATAACCAGTTGAACGTAATTCGTGTGAAAATAAATTCTACTTGATGTGTCGAAAGATCTATCGATCCATCCTTTGAATTATTGAATGAAAATGAAATTCTATATTATATTTGAAATTAAGCGATGAAAAACGGATATTTGGCTATATGCCGATTTGGAAAGATGTGTGCAAGATGAATTAAAAAAAAAAAAAAAGAATATATTTAAATTATTTATATATTATCACACCAAATTAAATATTGTCTATATATGAAAGATAGGGTAACTTCATTAAATATTATCAGTATTTGTAAAGATTCTAAATGATATAAAAATTAGAACAAAACACTTAAAAACACAATAGGCACATGTATCGCGATAAACATTTATTGATAGACTGATATATATATATAATGATAATATGTTTAATATCTTAAAATAATGTTGGAATCATTTTAAATATATAATAAATCGTATACGAAATTCTCTTCTTCATTTTCAATCAAAAATTACGATCCACTTTAACTCTTATAATAAAATTACAAAAAAATTCAAAACAGGTAAGTTGAAAAAATTATTCTTTCGTTATCAAAATTTGTGGAAGTTTAGACACAGAAAAAAAAAATCATATTTAATATTAAACCCATATGAATTAAATTCATATTCCAATTCTCGAAAATTATAGAATCACTTACGTGCGATCGATCGAACTTTTTTCGATGTATCACACCACGATGCACTGGCCACGGTGCACTCATCTCGTCGAGGGTGCATACTATCTCCAAAGGCAACAAGACACGACTATTTTCTCCTCTTTAAATTCACCACTACTCCTCGATCGACGAATTCGAACTACATATACAACAATTTATATTTGAACAATCTGATTCAAATCGTTGAATCTTAATCGCTGAATCGATAAGATAAATCTCGATACCGTATTCACCGATAATACGATAATTTTTATTTTTCATTGGAAAATGGAAATAACAATAATAGTAATATCAAAGAATTCAAAGGAGAAATTGGAGCAAATATGGGAGAGACTGACCTAGTTAAAAGAAAGATTTCACAAAAAATACGATTTCGATAAAAAAAAAAAATGAATAAATCACATTGTCTTGAATACTACACGTAAAACTATAACAGTGATTAATTTTTTTATTTAAAATTATAATGTATAATACAATATTAATTCTTTCAATATTTTAAAAGTTCTAATAGATATAATCGCAATTAAAATTAGAATATTTCTCGATTTATTTATTCAAACGATTCCATCTAAAAATTTTATTAACCTAATTGATAAAATTAGCTTCATTGATTCTCCATTAATTTTATTGGCCAGCCTCTCGGATAATTAATACAGTTATATCAAGACACTGAACATTATACACACACACAAAAAAAAATAGAAATAAAAATAGTATTAATTTTTCACCAAAAATAATTACATAATATCAAAACATCGGAAATTTGGAATAATTGGGAAGAGATACAATTGAAGAGACACTGAGTGACCACACTAATCAACGAGATGTTCACAAGTGGCGCGCGTGAGTTTAACTTTCACAACCATTCCTCTGCGTCGTGGCCAGACATCTGGCGGCCTGTTTGATTTTTGGACGAGATTTCGTGGCGCTGTTTCTATTTTTTCACGACTAGAAATAACACGTCATTCGCACGTGAATTATCGTGAATTTTTGGATATCCGAACAACCGATGTTGCGACAATGTTTTGGGCGAATGCTTCTAGGGTGTGGATGAAGGATAACATAGCCAAAATTCTTGAATATAACGTCTCGAGCGTAAATTACGAAAATGATTTATTGCTAAGATTAATCTTTGAAGAGTTTAAGAAGCTTTAAAGATTTTTTGTCGAGATTTTCGTACGTAGTGATTGAAAGACAAATCGATCGAAGAAAGAGATCGAAAAGAAGCGGATGGAAAGAATGGACGATGCATTTTTAATGAAAATTTATTGAAATATAAATAAATAGAAAGTTTAAGCATTTATTTTTAAGCTGGCAAATTATTTTAAGAACGATAATCTCGTAAGATGTGTAATTCAAATATAATATGAATTACAATTTTTTTAAAGAACAGATCTTAAAGATATCTTCTCTCTATTCTAAATTTGTAACCGACATTGTATGTTTAGCAACTTGTTGAAAGATGACGAAGATTTTATTACGATATCTCGTGC